GTGGACACAGACAGCTTAGCAAGGAACGAAAAGAAGCGATATGCCGTCTTCCAGAGCCCCACACTGTAAGAGAGATGCAAGCTTTTCTGGGAATGGTAAGCTGGTGCCGTTTATGGATAGCAAATTATGGACTGCTGGTAAAACCTCTATATGGAGTATTGAAGGCAGCCGAAAARGGAATAATTATTTGGACTGAGGACAGTAGAGCTGCATTTAAACAGTTGAAACACTCCCTAATGTCAGCTCCTGCATTGGGACTGCCCAATCTAACCAAACCTTTTGAACTGTTCACATATGAGCGACTGAATGTTGCTCTAGGGGTACTAGCACAGCATGTTGGAGATCAACGAAGAGCTGTGGCCTACTTCTCAAAACAACTGGACAGTGTTAGCCAAGGGTGGCCTGGTTGTTTAAAAGCTGTGGCAGCAACTGTCATCCTAATACAGGAGGCCCGCAAACTCACCCTTGGGCAGCACATCGTTGTGTATGTACCCCACGCAGTGATATCTGTACTAGAACAAAAGGGGGGACACTGGCTATCCCCTAGCAGAATGCTTAACTACCAATCTGTGTTGTTGGAACAGGAYGATGTTACCCTGAAAACAACTTCTGTTGTTAACCCTGCCATGTTTCTRTCCTCTACCTTAATTGACAATGTGCCTGAGCAYGACTGTTTGCAGACAATCGAAGAAGTTTATTCCAGCAGGCCGGACCTGAGAGACATGCCCCTAGAGAATCCAGATTGGGAACTATTCACAGATGGCAGCAGCTTCATGAAGAAGGGTAAGAGGATGACAGGTTACGCAGTAACCACCATAGATGAAGTGATTGAGGCAAAAGCCTTGCCAGCAGATGTGTCATCACAGAAGGCTGAACTAATTGCACTCACGAGGGCCCTAGACCTGAGCGAAGGRAAAAAGGTAAATATATGGACTGATTCTAAATATGCATTTGGCATTGTTCATGCCCATGGAGCTATCTGGAAAGAAAGGGGACTGTTGAACGCTCAAGGTAATGAAATCAAACATGCTGAGCAGATCCTTACCCTCTTGGAGAGCATCAGGAAACCTACAGAGGTAGCTGTCATGCACTGTAGGGGTCACCAAAAGGGGAAAACCACTCCAGAATTAGGAAATCGATTTGCTGACAAAACAGCTAGAGAGATAGCAGAAAAGGGGGTTTTTGCAGTGATACCACAGAAAGAGGTTGATCTGTCAGAGTTCACCCCAAAGTATGATCAGGCAGACCACAAATTAATTAAGTTCCTTAAGGCTGAGATTASAGAAAATGGATGGGCGGTCACGCCAGTAAACCAGGTCGTAGTCCCACCCCTGATCCTCCGGGAGATAGCTCAGAGAGAACATGAGAGCACACATTTTGGAGTAGAGAATCTTTTGAAACATCTGAAAAAGGTAGTGATAGGGAAGAGAATGGCTGATATTGTACAATCAGTAGTAAGCAAATGTGAAATCTGCTGTAGAAACAATCCTGATACAAGGAAGAGAGTTGTGTTAGGAGTAACAAAAAGAGGGGATCTTCCTGGGGATTACTGGCAAGTAGATTTTGCTGAGTTACCRCGCAAAGAGGGATACAAGTACATACTGGTATTGGTTGACACCTTTAGTGGCTGGCCTGAAGCTTACCCCTGTCGCTCCAATACAGCAAGAGAGGTGGTAAAAGTTCTGCTTAACCATATTATTCCAAGGTTTGGGGTTCCTTTGGGCATATCATCAGATAGGGGACCCCATTTTGTTGCAACAGTGATTGGGGAAGTCAGCAAGATACTGGGAATTAATTGGGACCTGCATACACCATATAGACCCCAAGCAAGTGGCAAGGTTGAGCGTATGAACGGAACTCTTAAGACCCAAATTAGCAAAATCTGTCAAGAGACATCCATGACATGGGTTCAGGCCTTGCCTATAGCATTACTGAGGATCCGTATACAGCCCAGGCGGAGGGATAACATCAGCCCCTATGAAATATTGTAYGGCAGGCCATATCAAATTCCACATGTCCCGGGAGAAATTCATATGAGGGGAAAACTTGATTTGCAGAAATATCTAATGGCTTTAAGTTCCACTTTGCAGAAGCTTCAGAATTACATYGTGTTATCCAGACCCATAGGACTGGACACACCTGCACATCCCTTCCARCCTGGAGACTGGGTCTATGTTAAGTGGTGGGACAGTGATCCTTTACAGGCCAAGTGGAAAGGACCATTCCAAGTCCTGCTGACAACCTTTACTGCAGTCAAAGTCGCTGGCAAAGGACCTTGGATTCACTACTCCCGAGTTAAGAAGGCTTCTTCTCCTGAAACAACTGGAAAAACAGAGACTGATGCAAATGGGGATGATATGGTTTAAAACAAGGGTTTCTATACTTGTTATCTACACCGTTGGTAACCATGGTACAGGAGTGGAACCAAAATGTGTA